ATACGTAACTATAATTCTAATACCTAATTTGTTTTTTAACATCACAATTTTGTATACTTAATAGCATTTAAATAATGTATGCTTTGAATTGTAAAAAAAGCATATACTAATATTATATGGTAGCTTTTGAAATGGAAAGAATTACATATGATGTAAGGAACATATACTAGGCACGATTAAAATAATTTTTTATTTATTGCCTTTATTTTATTTTATTTTTTATTCTAATTGAAGCACTTTTAATTCTTTTAATACAACAACAACAACATAGCCTTTTAGTCCCAAACAAGTTGGGGTAGGCTAGAGATAAAACCCAAGAGAACCAATGGTAAGAGAAACACAAAAAGGACTCAAAACAAAAGAAAGAGATTAGAGCAAAAGAGAAAGGAGCAAAAGTCACGGTTCTGGCACGTTGATTGCTAGCCTCCAAGCGCTCCTATCCACCGCTAAATCCTTGGAGATATTCTAATCTTTAAGGTCTCTCTTAACCGACTCTTCTCAAGTGAGTTTAGGCCGACCTCTACCTCTCTTAACATCATCGGCCCGTTGTAGAACTCCCATACGCACCGGTGCATCAGGAGGCCTCCGTTGGACATGTCCGAACCACCTTAGCCGATGTTGAACCAATTTCTCCTCAATTGGAGCCACCCCGACCCTATCTCGAATATCCTCATTCCGGATTCTATCCCTTCTTGTGTGCCCGCAGAACCAACGCAACATATGCATCTCTGCTACACTTTGTTGTTGGACATGTTGCCTTTTTGTAGGCCAACATTCAGCACCGTATAGCATCGCCGGGCGAATCGCCGTCCTATAGAACTTACCTTTTAGTCTTTGTGGCACCCTCTTACCACAGAGAACGCCCAAAGCTTGACGCCATTTCCATTAATAATACCTAAGTTTTTAGCGTTCAATTTTTTACAAAATAATTCATTAAACAGTATAGATAAATAGATATAGAAAAAGAAAAAAAGAAAAAAAAAAATGCACACACACAAAAGCAAGTGCATAGTACTTCAAGACAGCTTAAAATATTATTATGATCTACTATCAGGGTCCGTTTGGTTGGGTTGATTAGGCTTGATATCACTTAATTTGTTACTGTATCAAGAGAATTAAGTTGCTTGGTTGAACACCTCTAGGCCCTGAAAATTGAGCTTTGCCCGGTCTCATATCCCTTCAAATGTTATTACCCTATCCCACCAAACTGGCAAGATAATGTATCATTTTTTATTTTCCTCTTCTACCCATCTTCTTTCTTCCTCTTCTCTTCTCTGTTGCTTGTCCATTTTCCTCCGCCAGAATCACGTTGTCAAGCTCTCCCAAGGCAGCGACCACCACCACCACGGCGGCGACAACCACCACCAATCCCATCTCATCTGATTTCCGCTCAGCCAGATCCACCGCTGCCAATTCCTTCCCTGAACCATGACCCATCGACTTCTTCTCCTTTTAATCTCTGTCCGCTGGCGCCTCCCTCTACGCTGTCGCCTTCCCTTCCGCCGTCGTCGGCCGACCACACGCCTTCTCAGACCCCATCGCCTTCCGCTCCTTCGACCCCACCTTTGTTCGTGAACTTGAATTTGTGCCCAGCAAGATAATCGTAACCCCCTCTCCTTCTTCTTCATCTTCTTCTTCTTTTTTTTTTTTTTTTTTTTTAATTTANTAAATAAACAACACCTTTGATCGGGTGAAAATTAAGTTCTTCTTTTCAATTAAGCTTTCTACGTATTGGATGAAGCTTACTTTTAGATCGCCCAATTTTCTTAGCCCATCAGTCTCAAAGGCGGCGACAGATATGGCGGGGAATTCGCCGGCGGCCGTGAGCGAATTATTTATCCCAACAATTCGGCTCTTGTTGTTATTCGGAACAATTTTTATTTCCCCCAAATTTTCAATCTGAAAGTGAAATTGTGATGAGAAATTGAGAGAGGTGAGGGATTAGGGCTGAAGTTGGGTTGCTTTGGACATAGAATTGGTGTAGGGAGGGATGGGGAATTGGGGCTGAAGTTGGGTGGTTTTGCACAAGAAATTTGGTGTAGGGAGGAGCGGGGGATTGGGGCTGGGGTTAGGAGGATTGGGGCTAGGTTGGGTGGTTACACAATGAAAGCCAGTGGCGGTGGAGGTAGCACACGGCAAAGCAGTCGGCGGCAGGGAGCGATGAGATGATGACGGTTTAGGAAGACGATGGGGGCGATAATGGTGTTACTGTGTGTTGAGGCAAATTATGAAAATTGAATTTGGAATGAAGGGCATAAAAGTATTTTCAACCTACAAGATATCATTATCAATTATAACCCAAACAAGTTATTATACTAGTTGAAGTGATGGATAGCCTTAGATTTTATCAAGAAGATTATATCAGGCCCAATCACCCACTGGCAACCAAACCCACCCTCAGTGTCTTAGAATAGAATAGCAATTCTCAAAAGAAGATTAACATATTGTCACCCTTTCACATTTTACATGGAACTCACATAAATCGTCGATGAGTGAATTCCTGGTTACACATTAACAGCCTCTAAATGAGTACAAGGCAAGGGATATCCATTTCCAACCATATTATATTATATCTCTAAAAGGAACAATGCCACCTCTATACGCCATATTCCAAGGTGGAATAAGCATTTCGAATGCTGGATACCAAGTGGAATACATGTCATCAATCTAGACATAGTTTTCATATTTTTCCTAACAATAACTGATTTCTGATCGAGTTATACGGTGCTTGTATAGGTTGAGGAATAATTATGCACGCCTATTAAAGCACTGGTCATGCACTACTCTTTCCTATACCTCTCAATCCCCTTTTAATCCAATACCTTCTCTCGAAATATTCCTCCAGTTATCCTCAACATCAAAATAAAGATGCTCTAAATACTTTGGAGGATAATAGAGACTGCAGAAAATCTTATTGGTGCCTAAAGTAGTTAGGATAATAAAAGCCACATTATTGCCAATCAAGTATGCCGAAACTATAAAAACTTGCATTGCAAAAAGGCAAAAACACCACAAAACATGTGAGAAGCTCGTTAAAGCAAAATTAACTTTAAAAAACACAAGAGAACTGAAACCTGCCAAGTAAACTAGGTGATAGCATCCAACATAAAGCCTCAATTCCTCAAAAACTGCACAAGACATGGTGCACCAACAGCTGCTCGACCCCCCCATCATAATCGACAAAGCTTCTTTAGTGCATTCACCAGTCACCTCAGCCTTGATATGTATGGAGGAGCCACCACAAGAAGAATATGAAAGAGCAGAAATTTGCTCAGCAGCTGATGGTAAGAGAGCTGGAATCGGTCGCATTATTGTCGACAAACATATTTTTATATGTATACCTGGCATAAAAATGTGAGCAAAAACAAACATAAAATGAGATTGACAACTTCAAATAAATAATTATAAAAAAGCATTCGTACAGTGCAGCAGCCACCGAGTTTTATAGTTCTCATAGACTTCACACAACAAAAAAGAAGGCAATATCAATTTCTTTCTCTCTCTTCTTTTCGCCAGTGGCACCAAAATGACATCCATGTCGACCACAAATATGACCAATAGCCTATGCCTTGTAACAAAGAAGAGACCCGAGTTCCACAAGGCATGCTACACATCCAGGAAGCATCTTTGCAAAAATTGCGTTTTATTTCTTCAGAAACTGCCCGAGTACTGGCAGTTCCTTGTCGAGATATGACCGAAGTATAATATATAAAGAATGCAGTAACTCTTTGCGCGACAAGAATTATCATCAAGCATCGGCACTACTACCTCTTTGAATGTCTTGAGCCAAATCAGTGCCATTATCCAGTTGACCAAGTGCGAAATCCGAATCATAAACAGCATTAGGTAGCCCTTGATAATGTGTGCTGTTAACCTGCATTTTATGGTATTTTATGGTTGGTTAAAAGAATTTCTAAAAGAGAAAAAAAACCGCAAAATTAAAATATCTCAAAAATGATTCAAGTACTCACCACATGGAGTGGAAGCAAACAGTTGTCCCCAGCATACGTCCCTTCAGGTTGTTGAATATTCCCATGTCCGTAGGATCTAAATATCTCGTTGGTTGATGACTGAACATTTTTGCTAAATTCAACCGGACAATCCAATTGAGGCAATAGATCGTCGAGCTCAATGAAGGCCGAACTATCCAAGAAAAAGTTGTTTTCCAGATAACTTCTCTCATTCTCCATCAAGAAACCAGGTACATCTTCATTCATCTGGAGTGAACCATCCAGGTCACCAAGACCATTGTATATATCAAGTTCTTGAGAACAAGGTAAGCTCTGTTTCCCTTTTCCACCAAGTCCATCCTGGTAGAACCACAAATATCTTTAGTTTAAAAGGGGGAATATTTTCAGATAGAACTCAAACTTGAACAAATGTGCTGCGATTTCAAACTGATTAGCATTTTGTTAGGAGCACATTTTACACAAAGGTCTATGGGACAGTCTAAAATATCCCTTCTCTGAAAAATCTGAAGTAAAAAATTTTAAGAACAGACAAATTAAGTCCTCATGACACCAAAAGAATACTTTCGAAAATAACAAATATATATGAGAGCAAAAGAAGATTGCAGCAGGAAACCATTAACAGGACCAAGGAATATGCAAGGAAGATGAGCATTTCAGGGTTTTACTGTGTATATTAGCTATAATATCATGTTTTGTATTTTTTCAGCATCTACCACTTTGACAAACCTATAGCAACTCAAAAGTCTACCCCAAGATTACAAAGGAGAAGTATGAAATTTATTAGAAATGGAGGAATTTGCAAGCATATTTATATTTATTGGGTCTTACTGCTAATCATTAAATGGAAGTACAAGACTCCCCAATATTATCTCATTGAAATAGTTAATCCATCTAACAGACTCATAAAATAGAAAAACTAAAACACCCTCCAGCTGCTACTTATCATCATTCCAAAAGCAATTAGGGAATTATGAGAATGGACGTGTAGACAGGATGGAATAAAATTGTAATACTACCCATTATGAGAAATAGCTAATTTTTTATCCTATATCATATCCATACACAATAGGTATAAGTAAATTTACCTGGGCAACTCCATAATGATGAAAAAGCAACATGTCATCATCTGTAAATGGGGCCAGTAGTCGATCTATCTCATCATCAGTCTCATTCACTAACACCTCACCAGCTGGGTTAGATGGACCTTCAATCAAAGATAATTCAGTAGTTTCTGGAGGACTGCTTTGCTCTTCAATCGACAATAGAGTTGTTGATGGACCATCAGATGCAAAAGTTATAGCATGGCTTTGATCATCATCAATGTCATCATCAGTCCATTCAGCTTCATTAAATGGTGCCCCATATTGCGCACCATTCTTTGGGCCTAGACCATTCTTTTGGAAGATTTTGCACAGCACATATGTATCCTGCAAAATATGGAAAGATTCACATAAGGAACTAACCTTGGTCTCACAACAATAACAAAAATAAACTGAAACTATGAAGACATAGACAACTCTCTCGAAATATCCATAAGTGCAATATATATCTCTTCCAATCTGCTTATGGTACAGTTAACGAACAAATGCTTTATATTTCTATTAACATTGGTTGCTGACACCATCAAAATATTCAAGAAACAAACACTTGTTCTTTAGTTAAGACAACAAAAATGCTCTACTCAACCTTAAGATAATCTCACTCATACGGAAAGTAGGGTAACTTTATGTTTCCGTACAAGTTAAGGCAAGATGCCCCATCTTAACTAGTTGACGAAATAAACATAGAAATGGAGCTAGGCATCTACAATAATATTAATTCTATTAGATCTGTCATCACTAACAAACGGCTTTAGTGGTTAACTCAGAAAACTGGCAGAGGAGTTTCTAGATGTGTTATCTTAAAACTACTTCAGGATTAAAGAAACCATCAAACTTTGGCATTTTGACTTTAACTTACATTAAGGCAGATAAGCCAATTGCATAAGGTTAAAGTGGTCGAAAAAATTAAAACCCGATGTATGTTTAGAAGAGCAAATAAAACTAAATTCATTATTTTTTACAACATTGTATAAAAAATAAACAAAATGATTGGAATGCCTGCAGTTAAAGGGAACATAAGACTCAATTTTAAATTGCACTTAAGGATGCAACAGTAAAGAAATAAAATACCTGAACCCCAGCTGCAGCTAACTGGCAATCGAGAATCTTATACTCATGTAAAACCCAATTGGTCCGTTCCCCTTGGGGTGCATGACCCAAGTGAAAAATCAACGTCTTTATTGTTCCAACTTTTTTATTATTGTGATACACGGGTCTGTCTTTTCCTGTAGTTTTCCAGTACCCATTTTCAGTAGCACGTTTCACCCGAGCTCCACTTGCATACTTCTTCTCTCTTGGACAGAAAAAGAACCATTTTAGATCCTTACTTTTCAAGCAAGATTTATCTGCAATGAACAAGAAAACGTGTGAACTATTACACTGTTAGCAAACACTAAACAAATACAAGGGCCCTACAAATGGAAGTATCAGAACTCAGCTTGATTGAAATTGTTAAACAATTTCTACAATCTAGATTTAAATTAAACTGCTAAATTACAGAATAACAATCAGCATAAGTTCAAATGTTTTTTGAGTGACAATTGGCATACTTTCAAATGTTACGAAAATGAAAAGTCGGAGAATTTAAGAAAAGTGACTGACCAGGAAGATCCCAAGGAGAGAATTTATAGATATTGACCTCCGCAATAGCTTCTAACTGAAACTTTTTACCCATGATCTTCCTCTTGAGATAGTACAGAATCAACTCCTCATCAGTTGGATGAAAACGAAATCCTGGTGGAAGGGATGTCCTCGCCATAACAATCACTATCCCCACGACACAACTACTTCTGTTCTATGAACTCCAACCAATGATATATACTGCAAAAAACTTCACTCCCCACTGAACAAACCCTTCTTCCCGAGAACAAAAGGAAAAAATGGTGCAAAAACAGAAAGAACGGAATTCAAAGACAAATTCCTATATTTAAAACTCCAAGACCTCACCTAAAACTATAAACACTGTCAAGTCCAATGCCGGAATAACACCTTTTGCAAGCACCGAAACCTCCCACCGTTCATGAAACAAAAAGCACACCAGACAAACCACTGATGATTCTTGGTGAAACCAAAAGACATCTGCTGTGCCCACAAGCCCTAAAATAGGAACGATATGAGAAGGCTTAACCAAAAAACATTTACAAAGTCGAATTCAATTAACTGAAAACCACATCGCATGAATAGCATACCCTGCTCAAACAAATTCCATCAACACAAATAAAAGCCTAAACTATCGAAATATATTAGAATATGAACTAGTCTGGTTCAAAAGAACCTAACGTAGTTGTTAACAAGTGCTACAGTAACTCAACAATCACAGTGTCCTAAAAATTAATATTTTAGAGAACTGAGGAATCTAAACCTGCTAGGACCCAGTTGAAACAAAGAATAACAACCCAAAAAAGATATATTTATAAACATCAAACGAATAACAAGACTTCCCAGAAAAGATATTTTATAAACATCAAACAAAGAATAGACAGAAAACCTAGAACGATATCCCAAAACCAACGAGCACCCTAGAATGCAATACTCAGAGAACGCAGTTTGATTTCCCTTAAAACAACCATTAACCTAGCATAACAAGGAAATAGTCAAAGAAACTCTATTGGTAGAAGACGAAGAAGTTCGACTCACCTTCAAGGGGAACGAACCAGAGGCGAAGAAAAAAAAGGCGGAAATTACTTCAAGGAAAAATGCAATCAAGGGTAGAGTGTTGAAGGGAAGAGGTTTTAAATAGGGGGTGTAGGTTGGGCTCTAGAGAGTGTTTCTTTGAGAAGCTTATTTAGTAAGCTAGCTTCTCATTGGCCCATTAAGTAGTACAGAGGTAAATAAATCTATTTCTCGAGTCCAACTTTGACTGTTGTCTATTATTAGGTTATAAAAAGCGGTTTTGCTATGGAGCCAACAGTTGGCTCCATAATGGAGCCAACCTTCTATATACATCAAATAAACCTACCATATTCATAAAATTATATAAGTTTTATGAATATGGTAGGTTTATTTGATGTATATAGAAGGTTGGTTCTACTATGGAGCCAACTGTTGGCTCCATAGCAAAACCGTATAAAAAGGGTACTACCGTACTAGTAAATGTCACTCGCTGTTGCGTGGTCTAATATTAAAATGATGTGAATGAACTATAATTTAACAATAAATTATTTTTAAAAAACATCTATTGAAATAATGTAGAATATTTTTTTATTAATACATTTAAAAATAAATATAGCATAATAGTAGATGAGCCGTGTTCATTATCACCAATAGTAATCTATAGTAATATAAAGATGTTGTGGAAAAAACAAAAATAGTAACTTTGACTTAAAAAATAAATGGTTGACTTACCATTATAAGTAGTATTCTAAACTCCACATGTGAAAATTATTTCAGAAAATTTGATGACCTATTCAAATCTTTTAGCATACAATTTGGTAAGGTGTTCCGATTATTAAGCCTTTTTTTTGGTAAATTTGATAATCTATTCGGAAAGATTTTTTTGTACATTTGAATTATCAATTAACCAAATCTCTCCCGTAATTATTAGGTGATGCAATCACAATCCAAACAAATTCTTTTTGGTACATTTGAATTATCAACTAGTAATTACCCGTGCGATGCACGGGATGATATTTTTCATGTCATTTTTGTATATTTAAATATTTAATTCAATGAACTTGTTATATTTGTAACAAAAGTAAACACGTTGGGCGCAAACTACAAAATTCATAAATTATTGAAAACTTCTTTGTACACAACGTTTTTCGTTTGATTTGGCGTCGAGTCATCGTCACCACAAACTAAAATTTTCAAACCACTTCGGGTGGTGACACGGGATACAGCAACGTATAACTGTCCATGGCTGAACACAGGCTTCTTAAGAAATAAACCAACATGCGACAACGATTGTCTCTGGCTCTTGTTGATAGTCATGGCATACGATACCATAATAGGAAACTGACGCCTCTGGAACTTGAAAGGAATTCGGACATCGGAAGGAGTAATAGCCATTCTAGGAATTAACACCTTCTCGCCTGCGTGATCCCCAGTTAGTATCTTACACTCGATAACATGACTGGAGAGTTTTGTGACAACCAACCGCGTTCCATTGCATAGACACATAGAATGATCCATGTTACGCAACAACATGACGGGAGTTCCAATCTTCAAGTGCAATTGATGATTTGGAATTCCGGAACATTTGATACTATTTAAGAATTCAGGCGTGTGGATATCAGACAGGAAATCGTTATTAGAGTCTGACTTGCAAGTACTATCAGAACTTAAATACATTTGACCGTCAGATAAATTCAACGATGTCATGTACTCATTGATAGACTCAACAACATCGAGCGTAGGCGCTAATATTGCCCTGTCCTTTAAATAACTGGGATCATCGGTTGCCTGTTTAAACATTGGATAGGTGCTCTCTACAATTTGGGCAATCGGATCATCAGAGGGCTGAAGCATTATATCCTCAGGTATGTCAATCATCGCACAACCATCATTATCCCCTCATATGATTCCATCTCCAATGCTTGCTATCCATTCTGCGAACCGAGCAACCTCTTCACGTTCTTCTGAATTCCTAAGGCTTTCAAGACGCATGTTTTTCGTAAGCCGGAGCACAGTACAACTCCTCTAGATATCAGAAGCATTAATCGCAGCATTCACTATGTCCTGACGGCTACCCTTCGGTATTAGAGGAAGAATTTGTCGGAAATCTCCACCAAACACAACCGATTTGCCTCCAAATGGTTTGTCCTTGTTAGAAGGATCAATTGCTCCCATAATATCCTGCATTGATGTTTGGACAGCTTCGAAGCAATGCTTGTGCATCATTGGAGCCTTATCCCAAATAATCAGAGAAGCACGTATTATCAATTCTGCGAGACAACTTTCCTGACTGATATTGCAAGAGGATTCCTGGTGGGGATTC